TGGCCGTTGCCCTTACTGCCATTATGCAGTTGGCGAGACTTTCGCCACCAGGACTTATCTGCCCGATGACCTATGGTTCTTCGATTCGATCTTTTACCAAAATGTATTTATAGCGGGGCATAAGATCCAGAGGCGTTCTAACTTCTTGGTAGCCCTATATGCTTTCTACACCGAGCAGTGGTTCTCTATTCCAGCACTCTACTAGAGTGTCATGATGAAGCTATACACAAACTACATTAGCAAGGCAAAGCCCAAGCGGGCTAAGTATCTTCCATTTGCTCATCTTATCACACAGATTCTACGAGACCAGTGCTACACTTTCCACCTACAGGAGCATTCCGAGTCTAGGGCTTGCCACTACGCCAAGAAGAACTAAAACAAGAGCTACAATGCTCATATCAAGAGCCTGGAGGAGGACGTTATCCTAGCAGCAAAGGAGGCAATAGAGGCTGAGGAGGCGAAGATGGCAGTAGCAGTAGCGACAGCAGCAGCAAACGATCTAGCAGACGCACTGGCGACTGCAGTACATATGGAGATCGACCTGGAGCAGCAGTCTCCAGCAAAAGAGCTACCTCATCACTCTCCCATCGGGTCGCCATTACATGTCCCCGAGACTAGTCAATATGAGCATCACTCTCACGACCCAATCATACCTGACGCTCCAGCATAGACACCCGGCCTAGGAGAGCGTATACAGACCTTAGAGGATGCCGTTGTCTCTCTTCGGTCCGATGTGGCCTCCCTCAGCATTGATATGGCATCTCTCCACTCCAATGTCATGGCTGCGCTGCGCGATATATCCAAAAATATCCAGGGATCACGCCTAGCTCGCCCTACCTCCTCTACCTGATCTCTCTATTTCTCTATGTGATATTACTGTTATATTGCTACTGCTTTGATATTTTTGCGGCTAGTCTGTTGGCCCAGACATTGTGATGCGCTGTACATTATTTCTTTTTTATGTATGATATTTTTGGATGTCTGGATTTTATATTGATATATCTGTCTGTGATTGACTCCATTTATCAAATGCATCCCAGTGACTTCAGTGAGAGAGAGTGCTACCCAAATTTTTCAGGACCACCCTTATTCCTCTTTCCATAATTCATTTCTTATCCCATTTACACTTGCATGCCCACTGTGCACTATTATTATCCCTTTTGTTATCTGATTAGTTTTATCCAAGTGCCATCTTTTCAGGACCGCAGTTAATTCAAAGTTTTGGGGGGTTATACCACCCACTTTGGATATTTGCGTCCCGGCCATTCTTTGCCTTAGCTGCACTAGTATACTCTTTCCTTTGTTCTCTTTGCACATTGAGGACATTGTGCCATTTAAGTTTGGGGGTAATAGTGTTAACTACAGTGTTTGCTTTCAATTCAAAGTTTTAAGCATGACTTATATATTTAAGGAATTTTCTATGATTAGCCCATAACTAGCTATAATTTTGATCTTTTGAGGACTATATTGCTTAAAATTTAAAAATTGCTTGACTTGAGAGTCCAATACTCCTTATATGCCCTGTGGATGCCATTTAGGAGTAAATTTTTTGAAATATTGATGTCTTGCTTGCACTTGTGGTCCACATTATCCTAATTCTGTGATTGTTTTGAGATTCACTCTAGGATTCTACACTAACACAGGCGCACACTAGCATTCATTTGTGGGGTACATGCTTTGTTGACTATTGAATTGGTTATATCTCAATTGGGCTAGTAGTGCATTGAAAGCTTTCGTTTTGATAAAGGTGGATAACAAACCCTTTTCATTGAGTAGCCGGGATTCTAGCCTTATCAAGCACTGAATTTGTCGCGCCGAAAGGTGGAGGGCCCAAACTCTAGGTTAATGATGAGCGCTGAAAAGTGCGCTTTTAAACCCCTTAAGCTCGAATATTCTAGGACATTTATCTATCTTATTTTTCCGTTTTAGACTAGTTTCGTGTTATTTCCCTTTTTAGGTCAATAATGTTAAAACGTGCTAAAAATGGTTTCTTAAGGCCTTTTTGGAGTCAAACTAAGTCTTGGAGAGAATCTGGAGCAAAAGGAGGCTGATTTGGAGCAAAAGGAGGCTAATGCTGAAAAATGCCAAGATTGGATAAATCTGAGAAAAGTCTGATAGATCTGAGAAAAGTGAGATCGATCAGAGTTGGATCGATCGAACATAGATCGATCAAAAGTTGGATCGATCGAACAAACTCTGATCGATCGAAGAAAAGTCTGATCGATCGAAATTGTGCTGGCACTGAGCTGTCTAATTTCCGAGTGCGCCGATTTCCACCTACCAAAAAGTTGCGGGATTAGATATTTTTGGGCTATATTTCTGACTTAGTGGCTAAGAAAAGGACCTTCTATTTAAAGGGAAGTGACCCATTTTTGTAAACGAGCTTTTTATTATTTTATTATTACATTGTAATTTTATATTTTCTCTCTAGAAAAGTTAGAGATTAGGGTTAGAAGAAAAGAGAAAAGTGGAGGCTCATCTCAAGAACACATCTCTAGATCCACATATTCTCTCTCTCTAGAGCTTCAAAGAAGAAGAAGAAGAAGATGGAGCCATGTTTGGAGCTTACCCTTGAGGGTTTCATAACCACATCTACCTCCTCCATGATTGGCTAGATCTACACTTAGGGCTTGGATGATCCCTAAGTCTTATGTAATCTAAACCCTTATATTTCTATTTTTAGGGATTTATATATATTGTTGTGATTAGTGTTCTAACCTTGTAAATTTAATGAATCTTGGTGTATTTCTATGATTTCTATGATTTAATTCTTCCTATTAATTCTCTAGTTTATTAACATGTCTATGTGTGATTAAATTAGGAATTATTTCTTATATGATTCATATGGATTAATTCTTTCTATTGATTCTCTATTTGATTACATGTTGTCTTATGTGTGATTATTTGGGAATTGATCTCTATACTAGAATCTCTATGTTGGTTGCATGTCTATGTGTGATTAATTAAGGATTTAGTGATGGCTAAGTATAGGTTTTCATTGAATGGGTTTGTCAACTAATTTGATGGATTATTCTTATGCTTGATGGGTTGTTCTATAATTTAATTCATGTCTCTAGGTAGGTAGACAATCTATACTTGATTTGATATTCCATGGCTTATTATTGCAAATTCCATGATTCTCTAGATTGATACGTGCTATAATTGTGACTAGTTTGATGGGTCATGCTTAGATTTGATGGGTTGTTCTATACTTAGTTTATTTATTGGTTAGGTAGACAATTTATACATGAATTTGATGGTCCATGCTTAATATTGCAATTAGTAGTCTCATTTTGTTCACAGCAATGTATTCCCCATTAATGGAAAGCAAGTGGTTAATTACATGAGCTTAGTGGTGATTCCAACACCCTAAAACCTCTTTTCATATCTCTTAAATCCCTATCTCTCACTAGTTTACTTTAATTGCATATTAATTTAATTATTTTCTAGAGTAATCAACCAACCAAACCTTCTTTGCAATCTTGTGATACGCTAGAGTCGAAGTTAAATTCTAACACGTATAATCTCTTGGGATGATCCCTACTCACTCTTGCTACGTTAGTAGTAGTGGTGGTAGTGGTTTTTATATATATTTAAACTTGACCAAAAAGGCTTTTCTTGAACCGCACATTCATTACATTATTTTGGCGTTCACGAGCGGCCATCGTTAGTTAATAATTGAACTTTAAAAAAAAAAAAAAAAAGAAGAAGAAGAAGTTGCAAAAGTAATAAAAAAGTGAGGAATTCTCCCAAAAGGTGAGAAATGGAAAATGATTAAATGGAGGTTGTTTTGATTTCTAGCCTAGTTGATTTGAGCTTGTAAGTCCTTAGGGGTGTTTGAACACCTAATGCCCTAAAACCATCTGGTTTGGGAGTCATTGACCTAATGCTCGACCTCATGGATCGCTAGAAAGCTTAATAGATTAACACATTGCACCATGCTTCCATCTTTGATCCTTAAGATTAAAAAAAAAAAAAAAAAAATATTTGAGTGAATAGAATAAGCGTACCTAGATGAAGAAAGCTTTAATAAAAGGTCCACTCTTTGTCTTGATGATCAGTACTAGATTTGTGTGTTAGTTTGAGGGTAAGGATGTGATCATTTCTTTAGTTGACTTAAGTAGCAACATATTTGACGCCGGTTCACTCAAAAAGGATTCTAGAGTTGTTTTGATTTGACATCAGTCAAGTGTAGATATACACCGATTAAAAAGCTTTGTTTAGCCATGTATTTTTCCGCCATGAAGTTAAGAGTATATATGTTGCCATTTGTGGTGTACGTTATTTGTCAAACTGACTTAATTAAGTATATGTTGTCAAGGCCGATGATCACTGGCCGAATTAGCAAGTGGGCATTGGCCTTAATGGAGTTTTATTTTGTTTATATTCCACAAAAATCAGTAAAGGGTAAATCGTTGGCCGATTTTTTGGCCGACCACCCATCAACTGAAATTGACCTATACGTATGTGATGGGCTGGAGGCATCAACAATATTTGAAGTACCATGGGTTTTGATGTTTAATGGCTCCATCACAAGTGAAGGAGATGTAGCTGGAATTGTAATCATAGCCCCAAGTGGAAGAAGGGTATCTTTCTCATTTTTCTTGGATTTTAAATGCTCCAATAATCAAGCGGAATATGAGGCATTGATTATAGGTCTAGAAATTTTACTTGAAATGGCTGTAAGGGATGTACATATCATTGGAGACTCAAATTTGGTGTTAAGTCAGTTGTCAGAGGAATTCAGATGTCTAAGTTGGCAATTGAGACCATTCCACTCTTTGGCTACTCAGTTAACCGCACAATTCAATGAGGTTAAACTTGAGTTTCGGCCAAGAGAACATAATAAAGATGCTAATAACTTAACTTAATTAGCATCTAGAATTAGAGTTCCAAAAGGGATGGAAGAAAAGCTAGTAAAGATTACTAGACGAAGTCTTCCAACACCAAGGTAAGAAATTCCAATATGGCCGAATTATTTGCAGTCGACATTTACAATGTGGAGGAAGATGATTTGAGAAACCCAATTATGGCTTTCCTAAAAAACTCACAAAGGAAAACAAGAAGAAAAATCCAAAGGACAAGTTTAGAAACCCAATTGTGGCTTTCCAATTATTTAGCGGATTTTATAAGTCCAGCACAACCAAAAGATTGACCTAAAAGGGAACAAAAGGAAATATTGTTCAGAAATTACAGACCCATAAATTTATTTTTAAAATCAGTCCAGACGAGTTTAGACTGATTCAAAGAAGCCACAACCTGTAGTTTGGAGTCTTCCAACTTGGGAAGAACACTTTGGACTTTGGTAAACTGCACCTTATAACCTTTGGTCTCTTTCTTCATTCCATCCAGCTTGGAGTTAAGAGCTTGTTGATTAAGTTAAACTTGAGCTAAGGCTTGCCTTAACTCAAGTTCCCTAGTTTAGAGGTTATCTATTTCCGGTTTGAGAGATTTGAAAGGAACGGCACAACTTTTGAGCTTATCAGTAAGAAAATCTTTTTTCTTGTTTTTCTCTTCCACCTGTGAAATACAGAATGGGAATCCTGGATAGACTTAGATAGGCTGGGAAGCTAAGCTTTGAATGAAGAAATGGCCAATTGAACCTCCACTAGGAAACCTTGATGTTGGCTAAGTTTAATCAAAGCCATTGAAAGTTTATTTTTAATGAAAGGGAGATTGGCAGAGTCATGCTGAAGAAGGGTCATCAAAGCCTGTTTATCTACTTCAAAAGTCTGAGAAGGGCCAGGAACAAGAGCTAGAGCACTGCTGGAAGAAGTCATATTTTCCTCAACCAAGGACTCAACAGCCTGGAAGTAGTCACTAAAAGCTGAAAATGATCCCATGGAAGTAACAACCATGGAAGTTTGAGGATGGGCAAAAGTGTCCTGCAAAAGAAAGATGAGGTTAAGGGAATATGAAAATGTAATAAAATGACAAACTTGAGAATTACCTTTTTCTGAGGAAAAGGAGATTCGGCTACTTCTTTCGTACCAGAAGCTCCTAGTTGGGCAGATTTCCCTATTGGAGGAGTAGGAGGGTCTCTTGAAAGAACGACAGTAAGAAGTGTCTCTTCTTTCAATGGAGATCTTTAAGGACTTGGCAGAATAGGATTAAGAGGGCTATGTGAAGCAGTTTCCTGAAAGAATTCTATTAATAAATAGTAGAAGAAGATAGGAAGAAGAAATATGAAGTATCATGTTATACTTCAGTGGAAGATTTTCTTTCAAAATGGGCAGTTTCTTTAGTACAATCTTTTTCCACAACCTCATCATCCTCTGAATCATTTTCTTATTTTCCTTCTTCGTCTTCTGTTTCTATTTTTTCTTCTTCTTCTTTCTCTTCTTCTTCTTCTTCCTCTGTTTTATCTTTCTCACTTGTTCCCACTTCCTCAATTTCATCTTTCTCTTCTTCTGGGTCTACACTTGGACTTTTTTCACTTTCATCGATAGTTTCTTCAGGTATAGGAAGCTGTCTTTTAATAGGAGGATGTTCAGATCTTGTAGGACCTTTTGAAGCAGATGGCTTAGCAGGAGCCTGAATATAAGAGAGAATGTAAGGGATTTCTTCTATCTCAGTTAAAAGGAAAGAAACAGTAAGGTATTTACCTTTTTGGCCAAAGAACTCTTTCTTTTAGAAAGCATTGTTTCAGCCGTTTGACTAGCACTCTGAGATTATACTTTCTTTTGAAGATGTGGAGGATCTTGTTCATCATCAGAGTCAACAAGAAAAGCTGTCAAAAGAAGGAAAAGTTAAGGAACCAAGTTGAAAGAATTAAGTTTATAATAAAGAGTTATTACCTTGTTTGAAACTTGTGCTTCTTTTGGTTTTCTTCAATGGAAAAGCAAGGGCTGTCTTAGTTTTGGCAGGTTGTTTCCTTTTCTTTCCACCTCTTTCGGGGCTTTCGAGAAGGTCAGTTCCTTGGAAAACAGGATTTACGAATTTGAAACAACCAAGTTGTGATAACCTGAATTTTTTTTAGTTTTTTTTTTAAATTATATTTTACGTTTTTTAGTTAAGATTGAAGATTGGGATATGATGTGTGAGATTATAAGAATTGATTTTTTTTAGTTATTGGTATTTTGTTTTTTTTAAGTGTTTGTTTTGATTAGTTTTAATTATTTATTTAGTTAGTGTGGGTTTTGATGAAGTCTTGTTACAGGAATGCTAGATAGGCATGGATATATATATATATATATATATATATATATATATATATATATATATATATATTATGTTGATGTGTTGTTTGATGGAAGGAGATAAGGATTGAAAATGGAAAGAAGTGGAAGGAGCCGAGATAAGAAGAAAGAGAAAGCAAAATTGAAGTGGTTGTGTACAAATGATAATGTGGGGTCCATTAGTAGATTTTTTTAGGGCAAATATTCATTTGGTTTGGCTTGGTTCACGTGATGATATTCTAGAAAGTGTACTGTTTGTCTGATAGAAATAATAAGGAAATGGTAAAGTAAAATAAGGATGGGTTGGTGGGGTCCACTGTGATGATATCTTTTGACTATTACAATTTGATTTGATAATGGTATGGTGCAGTGTAAATTGTGTCTATATATTGGGTACGTTCTTGTGACTTGGTGAGCATTCAATGACAGAATAGAAATTTAGAAAGAGGAAACGCAGGGGGGCCGAGATTGAGGAAAGACAGAGAGGTTCGAGAGTCTGCAGAGGTGGTCTTGGAGCTTGGAGCTTTGATGATTCCGTGGGGAATTAATCTTTTTTACAGTGTAGGATTCTCTATACCTTGAATGGCATGGGGTGGGTTTGTTCCAAATGGTTTTATTAAATATTTTGATTAAATGCATATTTATTTTGTTTATATACTCACATATATATGTTTATTTTGTGAAGCTGTTTTGTTAAACCTCCATAAAATTCTTGTTATGGCTTTTTCTACTGGGACTTTTGTCTCACCATCCTCCAGTTTCAGGTACTGCGGATAAACGGTGATTGCTAGATTCGGGTTTAGGACTGAAGAGTTGGCGTTGCGAGATTTAAATTTTTTATTCGGAGATTTTTTGTATATTTAAGGAAATTGACTTTGTATAAAAGAGGGCATTTTTTTGTGATTCTAGTGTATTTTGAGTTGAATAAATTGAGGAATTCATTAAAAAAAATTCGGGGTCGTGACACAAGTTGGGTGGTAATGAGGGAAGAACAATCTGTTTCCCTAGTCTTCATAATTTAAGTAGACCACCATTTCTCAAAGGCAGGATCAGAAGTTAGATTTTCAACAAAAGGCTTAAATTGGAAGATTTTCTTCAAGGCTTTGAACCTGTTGGTCATAGTTTTGACAAAGTCTTCATCATTAAATTTCACACGGAGATGAAAGGTGCTGTTGAAAGAAGGACACGACGGTTGAGAAATCATCTGCCGTAAACCAAACTGCCGAGCAAGTTAGGCAGGTTGTAAGACTCTACCCCAACTCTACTATTTTTGGAAGAATAAGGAGCGGTACTGTAATGAAGATCTCTGGCCACTAAAAAGTTGGCCTATATTGACCTTTGTTCTTCCGGTAATTTCTTGGTGGAAATAGGAACAGGGGAGAGCCAAGATGGAGTTTGAATGCCGGAAGAAAATGGAAGGAATTGTTGAGGAGTTCTGGTTTGACAGCCTTAGTAGAAGAAAGTGAAGCAATCTCTGAAGGATTGAGGTTTAGGCATAACTGAAGCATAACTGAAAGAATTTAAAGCATTATTGGCCGAAGGTCTAACTTTCGGCCCCAACTTTGGGAAGTAAATCTAGAGCCAAAGTTGGAAGATCCAAAATGGACCACTCATTCTGGAAAAATCAGAGACAGTCTGATCATGAAGGCCCCTTTAAAGATGAGCCAAAACTAGAGGAGCCAATGCTAAAGGGGAACCTTTAGATAAAGCAATGGCTACTTCCACTAAGTCCTTGGTAACCTGTAAAGCTGGAACACATAGTACAACCTGATTAAGCCATACAAGTAGAAAGGCAATGTGCTCTGTATCTTCGGCCTGAGGGGTATGCTTTATACAGGCCTGAAGAAAAAGGGCTCGTAATTTTTTGTTCCAGATTCTTTGGTGGGGAAATTAAAGGCAGTGTCCGGATCATAAAGAATACAAGTTACTTCAGTACCAATGGGTTTTCAACCAGTCAAAGTGACAAATATCTTTCAAAGTAAGAGCCATTATGCCACAATTTAGATGCAGTGAATTTGTGGTAGAACTCCAAAAAAAAAAAAAAAAAAGGGGGTAGCAAAAAAAAGAGACTTATCTTGAATTGGGGGTGCTTTGGTGAGTTGGATTGTATCATAGATCCCAAGTTGTTTCCAGCTTGCTTCCTTTAATGGAGTCATCCTATCAACCCAAGCGCTCCAACCTTCAAATGGCGTAACCCAATTTTTTAAGTTAAAAATAGGTAAGTCGCCATTTGATGCTTTTGGAAATTTCTTCAAAAAATGAAGGGAATCTTCTGCTTGAGGGTAAAACGAAGAAATTGAAAAGGGAATTTTGGAAGGAAAAGCTAGACCTACGGATTTAACGTCGCTGGGTAGGATGATGAAAGATTCTGGAAAAACTTGATCAGCTGGAAGGCTAGAGATAGCTTTCGCTGCTTGATGCCCATGGTTTGTTGGAAGATCAAAAGGTAAAGGAAGATCAAAGGAGGATTTCCCTTTGGGGGCCATCTGAGAAATTGAAGGGAAAGCTTCAACAGAAGAAGAAGGGTTTGATACAAAAGGACAAAGGAGATTTGTCTTGAACGAGGAAGATGACATAATATAAGGAAACCTTTTGATTTAAAAGGGATTAAAGAAGACGGGCATTTAATGATGGTAGGTGGAAAGTTGTGGCCATTTAAGTAAGAGGTGATGGCTGTCAAATCGGGAATAGTAATCGGCATATAAGGAATCTTTGTTGGATAAGGCCTATGCGGATATCTATGAAGTTTCAAATTTAAATCTTTACAGGCCTAATCTTGGAAGATAGAAAGCTTCAAAATTTGGGGAACATAATGTTGGCACACAAAAGTGGCAGGCCAATAGTTGGCCACTTCAATGATGACATGATGTAATAAAAGCGTACAAGTGGACTAAATCATGGTCCAAATGATGAATTGATACATGTCAAACTTAAAAGGGAAAGAGATTCCAACACGCTGGAAACATCTGGCAGAATAAGAAAGGCAAATATGGCAGGATAAAAACAGCTGGCACTGGAATCGTGGGTTATGTGGTTTCCTATAATTAAGGAGAGGATTGGATAAAAGAGTTAGACACATATGGAAACTGTTATAGAGTTACCCAACTTAGTCTAGAGGTTCCAATCTTCAAGGAGTTTTAAAGCAACTAAGAAAAGTGGTCCCTAAAAGTTAGGGATAAGGAGATCGTGGGCTATATCTACAGAATATGTTTTAAAAAGGGAATGAAACTTAAGTAGTTAAATTACATGGTGTGTGTGTATATATATATATATATATATATATATATATATATATTCATATGAGCAACTTAAAGAACGTGGGACACATGGCGGCAGTGGAAGAAATTCTTAGATCGTGGGTTTGGAAGTTGGAATTCGGCAGCTGAGCAGGAGACAAGTGTTTTTTAAGAAAGAAGTGGGCAGTTGCTTAAAAGGACATGGGTCCTTCTTGTAAGGCTTTGATGCCTATAAATAGTTTACTTAAGATTATGTTTCAAACTCTCTCAACGACATCAATCAACATTCAATACCTTGTATTTCAATTCAAGCAATTTCAATACAAGTCTTTTCAATTCATTTACATTCATGCACTTACTTTAAGTATTGCATTTTAATTCAATAGATAGCATTATAGTTTTAACTAAAAGTCCTTTCATCGAAGGCAAATCCAAAACCTCACAATCACTTAATCACTCCAAACGGATCTTCCTTTTTGTTTGACCTCTCTAAATCTTTCGAGATTCTGGCACACCTGCACATTCCAAGTATCCCAATTTTGTGGAAACAGTGGATTAACCATAACAACCAGGTAGGCACTGGACTTTGGATTGCACCAAAAAAAAAAAAAATTAAAAATTAAAAATTAAAAACTCAACATCTTAGAACTTGTGTATTTCTTTATTCCCTTTTAATTCGATTCTAGTCACTATCATACCAATTCAAGTCAAATTCAAAGAAAAATGCATTGGCGTCGAGATGAAAGGAAGAAGTAGTCTATATTCATATTCTACTTTCCCCTTTCCTTTTTATTCTTTCCATAAAAGACAAGGATAGGGGAATTGGCAATTCAAAGTTGTGAATCCAACTTCAACAGTTTCTCACTCGGAAAAGATTATTGCAACGAAGTTTCTATCTACCCTGGAAAGTTTAGCCTTTATAGAAAATGTCCCACTGCAGGTAGCATGTCATCTAGAAATGATGTGAAGCCCCATTCTATCCACCAGATGTAATCCAATCTTGGGTCAATAAGCATGTGCCATTATAGGCCAGATTCGCAATGCAACCCCTAACGCTAAATTAAAGATAGTTGTCATGTGATCTTTTACAAATGAATTTTGATACAAAATTTTGACTGTATGGTCCTCATTTAATGGTCTTTCAAATTGTTAGATACGCGTTTCAATATTTATACATAATCATAACAAAAAGATAGATAGTTCATGATACCTATCATGAGGTCGACCTCGTGGTATATAACATTACTATTTATTGAAATCCATAGGGAAGTTTCCTTGAAGCCACATGCTTTTATAAGTTTGGGAGTGTTCATTTGGGATATTATTGCAGAATCCTGTTCAAGACTATATTTACTGAGATCGTGAGGTGGATCTAGGTTCAACCATAAATTTCCCTTCTAAAAAAGCAAATAGAATGTAAATCCTTAGGGAAGCCAATATTACTGTAAATTTCCCATTAAAAAAAATAATAATAAAAATAAAATAAAATAAAATAAATCAGTGTAAGGAGATAAAAGTGGAGTAAAAATATCATCTCTTGGTCGGAATAATATTTTTTTAATTGAAATTGTTCGCTCCACAATGCCTTATGTTCAACAGTTAAAGTCATGATTTGAGCAAACAACATGATTATCATATTATTAGCATATTGAAATTGAGACAAGTACTGTTATGCAGCTTCTTGTTTGGATTTTGTATGGCTTAATGCAGTGATATGCAGATTGCCATGGACAATGAGGTGGAGAAAATGTCTGAAAATTTGAAAAAATCAATATGTACCAGGAAA